GCGCCCCCCGACAATTTAGGTATCAAAATGTCTGGCTATAACCAGAGAGGTATGCCACTATTTTGATCCAGTTATCATGGACTTATGATTGTATGGAGCACCCCAAGAGCAACTGAAAAAGAAAAACAGCCATTTCTAATCAAATATTTAAATCATACAATTAGAAATTCTAATTTTCTGTTTGAAAAGCATTTTCTAATTTAAAATTTAAAATTGAACTATTGATTATTAGTTTTAAATGTATTTATAAATCCATTATTAAATACTGCAATTTAAGAAATGAATTTTCAATTCCTGTTTCTAAATTGAGATTTAAAAAACCACAATTCATAAATCTGATTACAAATACCTTTTCTAATCATACATTTGAAAAGGTAATTCCTTATTCATTGCCATTTTCTTTTTCATCTTGCATTTTCAAGTCCTTTTTGGAATTGCATTTTTTTTTACTTAATCCTTTCTATTTACTTTTATTGTGACTCTTTTGGTTACTGGTTGCAATTTAGTAAAACCAATCACAGTGGCTCCTCAGATGTAACTGCTCTCTAAGTACCTGTTCTTCATACTGGGTTCAAAAACATGAAAACATGTTTTCAGTTCGCGTTACTAACACTGGACCCACTTTTTTACATTTTTTATACAGTGTCCTGTCTGGCAATGTGGCAATAATTGTCTTGATGCCAAAAAAGAGCCCAACAGATTTTACTTTCACAAATGGAGCAGTACGGCTATCGCCATAGTGTTCCGCCTGATTTATGCATATAAATAGCTGTATTATAATTCATGCAGGGAGTATTACAGATTATATGGACACAGCAATGTAAGTAGAACAAGAAAGAGGAGATAAAAGGGAGATAACAATAGAACATCTTCAGTCTGCTTCATTACCTACAAAGAGATGTAAAAAGAACAGCACAACAACGGATATAGTATAAGAGCTACAATTAAGTAACACCTTTATAATATCGCAGAAGTATAAGTAGTATTATCTAATCTGACTTCTATACTGTGGTAGCTGAAGATCAGAATATGGGCTTTTTGTATGGAAGTGAATCTCTAAGTACCTGACATTGTTTGTTAGAGTGCACTTGGGCATGTAAAGTGTTTATCCAAAGGAAAAATGGACCCACTTTTAAACACAAAACCTCTTTTTCCTGAAGTTGTTGTAAGCTTTTCATATATATATATATATATATATATATATATATATATATATATATATATATATATATATATATATATATATATATAT